ATGTTCTCCTCTAGGAGTTTTATAGTTTCTGGTCTTACATTTAGATCTTTAATCCATTTTGAGTTTATTTTTGTGTATGGTGTTAGAAGATGTTCTAGGTTCATTCTTTTACAAGTGGTTGACCAATTTTCCCAGCACCACTTGTTAAAGAGGTTGTCTTTTTTCCGTTGCATATCCTTGCCTCCTTTGTCAAAGATAAGGTGTCCATAGGTACGTGAATTTATCTCTGGGCTTTCAATTCTGTTCCATTGATCTATATTTCTGTCTTTGTGCCAGTACCATACTGTCTTGATGACTGTGGCTTTGTAGTACAGCCTGAAGTTAGGCAGGTTGATTCCTCCAGTTCCTTTCTTCTTTCTCAAGATTATTTTGGCTATTCGAGGTATTTTGTATTTCCATACAAATTGTGAAATTATTTGTTCTAGTTCTCTGAAAAATACCGTTGGTAGCTTGATAGGGATTGTGTTGAATCTATAGATTGCTTTGGGTAGTATAGCCATTTTGACAATATTGATTCTTCCAATCCATGAACACGGTATATTTCTCCATCTATTTGTGTCCTCTTTGATTTCTTTCATCAGTATTTTATAGTTTTCTATATATAGGTCTTTTGTTTCTTTAGGTAGATATACTCCTAAGTATTTTGTTCTTTTTGTTGCAATGGTGAATGGTATTGTTTCCTTAATTTCTCTTTCTGTTTTCTCATTGTTAGTGTATAGGAATGCAAGGGATTTCTGTGTGTTAATTTTATATTCTGCAACATTACTTTATTCATTGATTAGCTGTAGTACTTTTCTGGTAGAGTCTTTAGGGTTTTCTATGTAGAGGATCATGTCGTCTGCAAACAGTGAGAGTTTTACTTCTTTTCCTATCTGGATTCCTTTTATTTCTTTTTCTGCTCTGATTGCTGTGGCCAACACTTCCAAAACTATGTTGAATACTAGTGGTGAGAGTGGACACTTGTCTTGTTCCTGACTTTAAGGGAAATGCTTTCAATTTTTCACCATTGAGGATAATGTTTGCTGTGTGTTTGTCATATATAGCTTTTATTATGTTGAGGTATGTTCCTTCTATATCTGCTTTCTGGAGAGTTTTTATCATAAATGGATGTTGAATTTTGTCAAAGGCTTTTTCTGCATCTATTGAGATAATCATATGGTTTTTATCTTTCAGTTTGTTAATGTGGTGTATTACATTGATTGATTTGCGGATATTAAAGATGGACTTGAGTTTCAGTAAGCTCCGGGAGTTGGTGATGGAAAGGGAGGCCTGGCGTGCTGCAGTCCATGGAGTCTCAAAGAGTCGGACATGACTAAACAACTGAACTGAACTGAACTGAGCCACTGGGGAAGCCCCAACATCAAGTCTTGAACAAGGACAAAAAATGTGTCTTTGCTGCCTCTGGGAAGTGTTTGCCAAAACCACCACTGAGTCTACCTGTGCCAGAACAGAGACAGTGTGATCTCTACATTTTTGTATCATTAGTTTCCGATGCAAAGTCCTGGAGAGAGGTATCTAATAGGGAGGCTCTTGACTCCTCTACTCTAAATGGAAGACTGTCCTACTGGAAAAGGAAATATCCAGCATTTTCAGTTTCTGTACTGGTGATGGGGGTTTGCAAATATAAGAAATAGTGCTTGGATGCTGGGAAGTGAAAAGGAATGACAAATGACGAATTAAGCTCACAAGATCAATTGACATTTACAAAAAGAAGAAATATCTCTCTCAAATTCCTCAGGAGTAGAAAGGATATTCAAGGTCTCCGTTTTATTTACTGAAACACAGTATATTTTTTACTCATCTTTCCTTATTTGCACTGAGTAGGACAGTAGGAGTAAGAGGATTATTTTGAAATCAAATGATTACATTTCATTTGGGTTTTGTGCTTTACTAATATACTGAACCTATGCCATTTTCAGGATCTTCCCTGGTGGCTCAGACGGTAAAGTATCTGCCTACAATGTGGTTAGGCCCGAGTTTAATCCCAGGGTCAGGAAGATCCCCTGGAGAAATGGCAACCCACTCTAGTACTCTTGCCTGGAAAATCCCATGGGTGGAGGAGACTGGCAGGCTACAGTCCATTGGGTCGCAAAGACACGACTGAATGAATTCACTTCACTTCACTTCATGCCATTCTCAACTATTACATTTTATACAGGTTAATTTCATTTTTTAAAAAATTTCTTCTATGTTAAAATAATTGAAAAACAGCAGAGTCATAAGTTAAAATAATAGAAACACATTCTTTATTTTTGTTATTTGTTAGTACAATATCCTAAGGCTCCCTGAGTGTGCTTTGCTTTGTTTCAAGCAGAACTGATGATGGTCCTGTCTCTACGCAGGAAATTGTATTTAGTGAGTGGCAGCTGCAGCCATACAGCGAGTCCTTAAGTGGCAACCCATTTCTAACACTGAGCCTCTAGATATCATACTAATCCTGGCAATATGAGAGAGAGCCAGATCAAAGCCCATTTGGAGAAAGAAAGAAAATAATCCCAAACTGCTCTTTTGATGTCACATTAGGCCATTAATATACATCATGTCTGTTTAATTTAAAACTTCTGACTAGTGCTGGTATGACTTAATTGCACACCTTTTGAGACCCAGCATTAAGTTATTGTGTGCTTGGGTGGGAAACATGATTTGTGCCATAGTTAATGATGAGATTTAGAGTCAAGTCCAGAGTCATGCATTCTCTGTACTCTCCACTGACCTGACTGCATGTCTCTCGTAAATAACATCTTCAGTGGATGAAGGGACCATAAATCTGTCCAATGATGGGTCTCTCCACCCTGTTTCACTCTCTTCCTGGACATTGCCTTTTGATTCCCTAGAGTATAATGAGAAGTCTGTTGAGTAAGTGTTTTTCTTTTTTCTTTCAGTGGGCTGTTCATTTCCTTCCTGCTCTTACTCGGGCTTATGTTAGGAAAAGTAGGGTCATTTGTTAGGGTATTTTGACAGTATTTTTAAAATAAATCCATAATTCAGACTCTGATCTCTATTCATATTCTAAGTACTTTTATATCATGTTCCTTTATTTTTTTGTTCATAGAAAGTTTCTCTAACAGATTTTATCAGGCTTTGTGCAAAACCTGGAGGAGTTGAGATAATTGAAAAAATTAAAGAAAATACCAGGCTTAAATATTATATAAAATGGCATCATAAAGTATATTTACCTTTAGCCAACTTGGGAAAAGCAGAAATGGCATATCAGATTTTAGCAGAAACTATCTCATGTTTTCACCTCTTATCTCTATAGACTAGCAGGAGAAGCAGTCATAAATTTCTAGAAAGAAGCTGGAAGGATAAACTAAGGGTGCTACAGAGGGAGTAGACTTAATGTGAACAGTTCTAAGTCAGAGGTAAGGATCATGCAAAGCTGGTGTGTATGTGTGGGACCTAGCACTCTTGGGAAAGGGACATCCAGTGTGAGATAACCAGCATGGTCTGAAACCATGAGCCTCATATACAATACTTAGGTGTTTATAGAAAATTGGGAGGGAAAAAAAAAGAAAAAGAAAGAGAAAGTTCGTAACAACTTGGCACTCTTCTCTCAGTCCCTAAAGGTAGTATAAACTTTAAATGAGCTCCTTTTGTTACTGGAGAAAGAATGATAAGGACCAGACACAATGTCAAGGTTGGTTATATTTTCTAAAGGTCATTTAGTGAGCCCTGACTGAGATTAACATATTAGGTTAGAGCATCTTAAATTTCTCCCAAACAATCTCAAGGAAGAGGAAAGTGAACACAAATCTTTGGCAACGAGAGAGACAACGCCCGCACTGTGAGCAAAATTTTCTTTGAAATGCTCTGTTTTATCCTAAAAATTTGTACAAATGTTGCCTTCTATACATATTGTGTATTTTAATATAAAATATTTAAGTTAAAGACTGTTTAGCAAAATCAATGCTCCCAGAAATTGTGTCCCATTAGTCTATGATTTTGCAAAGCCCATAGCCCATTGCCAAGGGAATCTTGGAGAGGGCCACATTATCCATTTGAGAAGCAGATGAAGAGCAATTAGCTCAATTTCAAATGTTGTATCTGAAAATATTGTGATATTCAGTTAAGTGTATTCAACCATTTAGCCAAATATTTTAATAACCTGTGGAAACCCAGGGAATATAATTGTAAACTTTGGCCTGCTCTGTTCTCAGTTGAACAAATCAAGCTTTGCATGACTCCTTTCCAGCAGGAGATACTTAGTTCAATCACAGACATTGCTCACTCTCAAAATTTGATCCAAATCTGGAGTTAGTGTTAAATGACACCATGTGTTTCCTCTGGTTAAATAAGGTCAATAAATTATTATGTTCCTTTTGTTTCAGAAAACGAAGATATTTAAGTCTTCTCATGTTGAAAGAATACTAATTGTGAATTTAAGAAATTCAGAGGAAGAGTGGGGACTCTAACTGCATTTGCCATGCCTGCTCATTTTGCCTTCAGAGTTCTGGGGTATTTGAGGAGTTACTATAAATAAGCAAGTCTGCTTTTCTTATGGCCTAAAAAATGTCCAAAAATGTTTTGAGAAATGACAGACAGCATTGTTAAATAGCATACAGCATTCGGCAACATTATTTGAGTATTTAAGTGAAAACTTAAAAATCATCTACAGCTGAATGTCAGAGATGAGGGTAAACATGATTCCTTCCTTTGAAAAATGAAAACTCAACACTTAGCCCTCCATGATAATTAAAAGTCTACCACCCAAAATTAATATCCCTACAGTACCCAATATGTATGGAGTACTGCATGGAAATATGTGGAGAAGGAAGGAATGCTAAAGATGAAAATCTCTTAACTGAATACAAATAATTTAACAGTTCCAGAATTCCCAGAATAACTGCTATCTATGTAAGTGTGGGTTAAAGGTGGAGAGGAAAGAATGGTAGATGTAAAATGCAATAACTGGCAGTTATTTAGCTCAAACATATATCCTGAGAGACTTCAAAATATAAAAGATCAAATTAAGGAAGTGTTGTCCCCTTGTTTCCAATGCCTCATACTTCATCTGAATGCATCTTCCTGTCTGACCTGTTCTCCACAGTCAAGGAAACAATCCACACGATGAAGACGCTTTCCTTCCTGACTACTGAAGGAACTTCTTTCCACAACCATACTTCTAAGTGCCAGGGACTGTGCTGACAAAGGAACAACAGACTGTTTCTGACCTAAGGTTTCCCAGCCTCGTGGGGGAGATAGATCAAAAAATATCTACTAGGTAAATTTAAAATGTGAGTTCTCTGCCTGAGGTGGAAATGTACAGGGTGTTGTGGCACCAGACTCAATAGTTCGTGCTTAAGAAGGAAATGCAGAACAGAGAACCGAGGCCTCAGGTTCCAAAACGCCCGGCGAACTTCAAGATGAGACGTCGAGTTGGCATCAGAAGGGGCGGGGTGTGTGTGGCCTTGGCTACTGTGCCACGGTGGGTTTGCTCCACACACGGTGGGCTCTCAGGGACCCGGACAAGGTCAGTTTCAATGGATGAGAACAAGAAACGCAGAGTATGGAGAGCAGCTTCCAGTTCAGGCTGAGGAAAACATTCTCCAAGGAAGCACCAGATTCCTGAAACGTGTCCAGCCCTTGTGGAAAAGATACAGTTTGGGCCGCAGTTCAAGTAAACTTCTGAGGAGCTTCAAACGCTCGGACTTGGCAGTTCAACTCAAACGGCTTTTCCAAGTTCTTCCTAATCAACTGCCACTTCTAAGGCAAAGTCATTGTTTACAGCCTGGCGGAGTTGGAATCTTGTCGGAAAAACAAACTTGTCGTGACAGTTGGGGTTTATAACTACCCTCGGACTTTACGAGAGGCGAATTTGAGGAGCTTCCAAACTCCTCAGCCGGCTACCTGACGGCTCTCCGGCGGCCCTACGTGCGTCCCTGTGTGAGGCTGACAGAGGAGCCGGGGTCTCAAATTGGCTAGAGACTCCTTTTCGGGAACACGACTCTCACCGGCCACGCCCCCAGGCCACCTAGAACTGCAGCGTTGCCGTTTTCCACCGCATTTTCGCAGAGTAAAGCCAGCGGGGTCATGCCCGCACCGCCGCCCCGTCTCTCCACCCCCGACCCCGCGGCCTGGTCCCCCGCCAGGCATGGGGTAGGAGGGGCATCCGGGCAGGGGCGGGGCCCCAGGCAGGAGGGGCGGGCCGGGCCTGCGCACTAATACCTGCTGGCACTGGGGGCGGGATGGGGGGGGTGCGGTCAGCCCCAGGGGCGGAGTTAGCGCTACCGGCTCTTCAGGCAGTCAGGCGGCAGCGCCTTGGGAAGCGAGCGTCCTAGCCCTAGACGACGGACTTTGTGCTCCTTCCTGCCTGACTTGCCCCTCGCTCATTAGACGCGAGTTCGATTCCTGGGTCAGGAAGACCCTCCCCCACTGGAGGAGGAAATGGTCCCCCACTGGAGGAGGAAATGGCCAACCACTCCAGTATTCTTGCCCGAAAAATCCCATGTATAGCCGGGCAGGATACAGCTCTGCTCGCAAAGAAAGTGAAGTCGCTCAGTCGTGTCCAACTCTTTGCGACCCCATGGACTGTAGCCTGCTAGGTTCCTCTGTCCATGGGATTCTCCAGGCAAGAGTACTGGTGTGGGTTGCCACTTCCTTCTCCAGAGTATAAGAAAAAAAGTGTCTAAATTACTTACGTGCATAGCTTTGGTAGGTACTTTTCTGTCTCAAGTTTTCTTTCCACGTTCAAAAGCTACCAAAGGGCTACTAGTTTTCAGGCACTGGGGGTGTAATGAAAATAACCCTCCAGAAACTTGGCCAGTGAAGAAGAAAAGTGAAGGGGCCATGGGGAATGCGGTGATGGCAGGATGGCTGGGTGGTCTGGGAGCACCCGAGAAAGGCGCCTAAGCCAGTTTCAAGGTGTCAGGGGAGGCTTCTGCCTGGGGACAAAAAAATCATAAGGCGCTGGCGGAGCAGAAAGGGCTGAGGAGGGAAAAGAGGCTACAGTTAGAGAGAGATGGGATTGATGACTGAAAAAAAAGATGTACAACTTGAGACTTGCAAGTTAAGTTTTATTGGGGGCAAAATGAGGGCTGCAGCCCCAGAGGCAGCATCTCAGATAGCTCTGAGAGCGTGCTCCAAAGCGGCAGTGGAGGAAAGTCAATTTATGAGGTTTAGGTAAAAGGGGAGTTCAATAGCACAAAGCACTTATTTTACAGAAGGTTTTTTTGTTAGTCATGAGGGTCTGATGTCACCATGAAGGGACTTAGTGCTTCTCTAGAAATGAGGAGATGCAAGGATTCAGATCATAAAATCTGTTCCTAAAATCAGTTCAGTTCAGTTGCTCAGTCATGTCTCACTCTTTGCGACCCCATGTACTGCAGTATGCCAGGCCTCCTTGTCCATCACCAACTCCTAGAACTTAATCAAACTCATATCTGTTGAGTCAATGATGCCATCCAACCACTCATCCTCTGTTGTTCCTGTCTCCTCCCGCCTTCAATCTTTCCCAGCATCAGGGTCTTTTCCAAGGAGTCAGTTCTTCACATCAGGTAGCCAAAGTATTGGAGTTTAAACTTCAGCATCAGTCCTTCCAGTGAATATTCAGGACTGATTTTCTTTAGGATGGACTGGTTGGATCTCCTTGCAGTCCAAGGGACTCTCAAGAGTCTTCTCCAACACCACAGTTCAAAAGCATCAGTTCTTCGGCGCTCAGTTTTCTTTATAGTCCAACTCTCACATCCATACATGACTACTAGAAAAACCATAGCTTTGACTAGATGGACCTTTGTTGGCAAAGTAATATCTCTGCTTTTTAATATGCTGTCTAGGTTGGCCAAAGCTTTTCTTCCAAGGAGCAAGCATCTTTTAATTGCATGGCTTCAGTCACCATCTGCAGTGATTTGGAGCCCAAAATGATAAAGTCAGCCACTGTTTCCACTGTTTCCCCATCTATTTGCCATGAAGAGATGGGACCGGATGCCATGATCTTAGTTTTCTGAATGTTGAGATTTAAGCCAACTTTTTCACTCTCCTCTTTCCCTTTCATCAAGAGGCTCTTTAGTTCTTCTTTGCTTTCTGCCATAAGGGTGGTGTCATCTGCATATCTGAGGTTATTGATATTTCTCCCAGCAATCTTGATTCCAGCTTGTGCCTCATCCAGTCCAGCATTTCTTATGATGTACTCTGTATAGAAGTTCAATAAGCAGGATGACAATATACAGCCTTGACATACTCCTTTCCCGATTTGGAACCAGTCTGTTGTTCCATGTCCAGTTCTAACTGTTGCTTCCTAACCTGCATACAGATTTCTCAGGAAGGCAGGTAAGGTGGTCTGGTATTCCCATCTCTTGAAGAATTTTCCACAGTTTGTCATGATCCACACAGTCAAAAGCTTTGGCATAGTCAAGAAAGCAGAAATAGCTGTTTTTCTGGAACTATCTCACTTTTTCAATGATCCACTGGATGTTGGTAATTTGATCTCTGGTTCCTCTGCCTTTTCTAAATCCAGCCTGAACATCTCAAAGTTCACGGTTCACATACTGTTGAAGCCTGGCTTGGAGAATTTTGAGCATTACTTTGCTAACATGTGAGATGAATGCAATTGTGCGGTAGTTTGAGCATTCTTTGGCATTGCCTTTCTTTGGCACTGGAATGAAAACTGACCTTTTCCAGTCCTGTGACCACTGCTGAGTTTTCCAAATTTGCTGGCATATTGAGTGCAGCACTTTCACAGCATCATCTTTTAGGATTTGAAATAGCTCAACTGGAATTCCATCATCTACACTAGCTTTGTTCGTCGTGATGCTTCCTAAGGCCCATTTAATTTCGCGTTCCAGGATGTCTGGCTCTAGGTGAGTGATCACACCATCATGATTATCCAGGTCATGAAGTTTTTTTTTAATTCATTAATTTATTTTAATTGGAAGCTAATTACTTTACAATATTGTAGTAGTTTTTTGCCATACATTGACATGAATCAGCCCTGGGTGTACATGTGTTCCCTATCCTGAACCCCCCTCCCACCTCCCTCCCCATCCCATCCCTCAGGGTCATTCTAGTGCACCAGCCCTGAGCACCCTGTCGCATGCATTGAACCTGGACTGGCAATCTATTTCACATATGGCAATATACATGTTTCAATGCTATTCTCTCAAATCATCCCACCCTCTCCTTCTCCCACAGAGTCCAAAAGTCTGTTCTTTATATCTGTGTCTCTTTTGCTGTCTTGCATATAGGGTCATTGTTATCATCTTTCTAAATTCCACATATATGCATTAATATACTGTATTGGTGTTTTTCTTTCTGACTTACTTCACTCTGTATAATAGGCTCCAGTTTCATCCATCTCATTAGAACTGATTCAAATGCATTCTTTTTAATAGCTGAGTAATATTCCATTGTGTGTATATACCACAGCTTTCTTATCCATTCATCTGCCGATGGACATCTAGGTTGCTTCCATGCCGTAGCTATTGTAAAGCGTGCTGCAGTGAACACTAGGGTACATGTGTCTCTTTCAATTCTGCTTTCCTCAGTGTGTATGCCCAACAGTGGGATTGCTGGGTCATATAGCAGTTCCATTTCCAGTTTTTAAGGAATCTCCACACTGTTCTCCATAGTGGCTGTACTTGTTTGCGTTCCCACCAACAATGTAAGAGGGTTCCTTTTTCTCCACACCCTCTCCAGCATTTATTGTTTGTAGACTTTTTGATAGCAGCCATTCTGAATGATGTGAGATGGTACCTTACTGTGGTTTTGATTTGCATTTCTCTGATAATGAGTGATGTCGAGCATCTTTTCATGTGTTTGTTAGCTATCTGTATGTTTTCTTTGGAGAAATGTCTGTTTAGTTCTTTGGCCCATTTTTTGGTTGGGTCCTTTATTTTTCTGGAATTGAGCTGCATGAGTTGCTTCTGTTTTTGAGATTAATTTTTCGTCAGTTGCTTCATGAAGATCTTTTTTGTATAATTCTACTGTGTATTCTTGCCACCTCTTCCTAAAACTCCTAAAATCATCCAGCTATCTGGAGCACAGAGTGCCTCACTCCACCCTAAATTCCTCAGGGATTATTGAAGGTCAACAGCTATAGCAGAATGGGGTTCAATCTCCATAGAGACAGATGGCAAATGCCTTTGTTGTTCAGTCGTTGGCCATGCTCTTGGTAAGTGCCAATTTGTAATTTCTGTGGCCCCCTTGTGGTCATAAATCTGACCATACTTTTGGGGGCACTTCATGACCATTTCGTCTCACATTGCTGGGAAGGCTTGTTCCCAGTTCTGAAAAGGTTTTTGTTGATAGGGCACTCAATGTGCTATTACTGGACTAGGTCTTAATAGTCAAAGATCTCTGGACACCTGTCTTCTAGTATGGTCCAGGAAAGTATTCCCTTTTGTTACATCTTCCCATATCTAGAGTTACACTATTACAATCATTGATCATAGATCGAACTATGCATTTGATCAACTCCTTCAAGTCTAGTCATCATTTTCATTGGGGCTCAGTCATACACTTGGTAATACAAGAAATAATAATCTTGTGAAACAAGCAAAATATAAATGGTATAGTTAGTAACATTAGTGGAATGAAAAGTCAATATTTTAGCCATAAGCCTCCCACACCAAATCAGTTTTTTTTTTTAAAGATCATCAAGACTAGGGAATGGGTCACTTAAAGCAGAAATCTGATTTTTCATGTGGTTCATCAACTGTGTTACATTAAAGGATTTATCAGGTATGAAAATATAGCATTCACTTTGAATTATAGCACAGAACTCTCCTGAGATGCTGTAAGGTGTCAAGGGACTTGCAGTTGTGTAGCACTGCCTCTCTCATCATAGAGATCTCAGAATTCAATAGGCTAACAGCCCAGTTACTATCATTTAAAGCTTATGAAAGTTGTTGAGGCTTCAATATGGTCTATTATATTCTCTGACCCCATTGAAGGCATGCACGCACACACACACACGCGTGCACACACACACACACACACACACACACACGGTCATACCAGTAGAACACAGATCCTTGACCCACTGGGATCATACCAATGGTAGATAGGTTGGGGTTACCTCTAATTTGTTAACATGTAT